CAAGATTAATAGATTTTGTACTGAGACCAGAGGATCTGTTCTTACAGTTTAAGGGATAATCAGTCAAAGGAGGCTGTCCAGAGTATGGTTGACTCACATGAGGCTCTTTAACCAGGCGGAGCAAATTTGGTTGGGAAACCATGTCCACCTTAGATTTGAAAGAGTTTCTTTTGTGACGATTGTATCATAGGGGCCTAATTTGTTTATGCAAAATAAATGAATGGTGGGCCTAAACCAGCTTCATTACTTGGCTGTTCTCTCTTCAGTTAAATGCCTTCATTCATTTCCCCAAATAATTGTTGAGTCCTTACTGTGGAGTAGGTCTTATGCTGTGGAATCAAAAATGGAAAGAAACAGTATTTCCCCCAGTCCACTGGACAAGTGGTTTTACAGATAAGAAGTAAGGACTGAGTAAGATTACCCTTAGAATGGAGGAGTAGGAGAGCACAGTGATGGCATCATCTGATTTGCATTTTCATAAGATCATTTTGGTGACAGTGAGGTTGGCCTGATTGTGGTGATGAGAGGGACACTGGAGGTCTGAACATGGCGGTGGACATGGGGAGGAGAGACCTTCAGGACTCTTAGAAAGTGCTGTGATTAGAGGTGTGTGAAAAGGAGGTTGCTAGGAAGGTTCTAGATTTCTAGCCTGGGGCCCCCAAGTGGATAATGAAACTATTTACTTAGCTAGTGACTATTGGAATAAGAGGAGGTTTAGGGGCAAAGAAAATTAATTTTGAATTAGCAGGTTGCACGTATTTATCTGGGTGATGCTGTCCAAGGGCCCTGTTGGGGTGAGGTGTGGAGTTTGGGGCTAGAGGTAGAGAATCCCACGTCTCAGGATGTGGACGGCTGTGGGCTTGGATATAATCACCTGGAGAATGAGCGCCAGTGAGAAGGGAGATGGATTTAGGTGTAATCTCTTGGATAAATCAGCCAGAGTCAACTAGAGAGAGTCATTAGGTTATGGGAGACCCCTAGAGGTTGTGGCAGGAAATCTCATTTTCCCCAAATCAGTGGTTCTCAACCTATGGGTCACGACCCACAGGAACTGTATTAAAGGGCCGCGGCCTTAGGAAGGTTGAGAACCACTGCCCTAGAAGAAGCCGAACAGCAGTGAAGGGATCAGAAACCCATTTTCTGGGGTTTGCTGTCCTCTTTGGTAGCCGCCACTCATTAGCAGATGGAGGTGTCTGAACTTGAACTTCAGCCATTCCTAACCTTTCCTCCGAGGAACCCTCCCAGTTTCCTAAGTGCCTCCTGGAATTCCTCTTCCTGGGGTAGGTGGGGCAAAACCGATTTTGTATATTTTTTTGAAAGATGAGAGTGTTTGGGGGCATAACCCCCTAAACTTAAAAATGTAGTATGAAAATATCGCCCAAATGCCAACAACCCATTTTTGTATGTGCTGAAGTAAAAATTGAGGCTTTAAAAATAGAAGTTTTAGCCTGTGGGTGGGTTCATCCCTGTTCCAGTTAAGCTATTTCCTGAGGCCACAGATGGATCAGAACCAGACAATGCAAATGTCTTCGAAGCTATGAGCGGGTAGCGAGCCACGCTGGAGAACTAATTCATTCCTCCTCCGGGACCAGGTTCTTTTCAATGCCAGTTGACCTTGAGGGTCCTTCCCTGGGCCATCTCCTGGGGCCCCTGCCATTCTTTTTGTGTCCATGTCAGGGAAGCATAGTATATATCAATCATCTGTAGTTCTGAGGACCCCTATTTTCTTTTTTTCCCTGTTTATTACTACTCTCTCTTGAAGCAGTATCCTCTTTATTCCTGTGCTTCCAGAAAGCTGTGTCGGGTGGTCATTCCACTTTGAAGTTTGGAGTTGCACTCAAATATTTATAACATGTAGACAAGCCCTTGAAAGGGATTTTTGTTTCCGTGAGATGTATCTCTCGGCGTCCTGAGGCCTTTTGATGATAAGAACTTACGTGGGTTCATGTAAGTTCAAGATCAAGGGTTGCTTACTGTAAGGAGCGCCTCTGACAACTGCACACTCATTAAAGACTCGCCCTCGGCTTTCCTCTGGATGAGACAATAATGGTGTTGGCTCCTGCTCTGCTGTCTGTGGCGGTCATACTGGGTCATATTGGGAGTGGGCTTAGCTGTGCACTCACGGATGGTTTTCTTGGCTCTTGCCGAGGTGGCTTTGGCTGGTGCAGGTGTGAGTGAAGGAGAGCAATGGGGAGCTGGAGCCCTGGCTGACATCTCATGGATTGCAGGGAGCATTGAACTCATGTCTGAGTATGTGCAGGTTGGCCCTGCGAGTCACTACAGACTGCACTAGGGGGAGGCAGCAGAGAGATGTGCCATTTGGTGGTCCAGAAACCAAGGCTCCTGGGCTGTGCCTAACAGACACAAGTGCCCAGTCTGGTGCAATGCCCGGCGTGTTGGAAACCAACATACCTGCTTGTTAAATGTTGGGAGCCAAACAAGAAATGGTGATAGCTCAGGGAAAAAGGTACTGCCTCAAGGGAGAGTAGGAAAAAACGAGGAAGAAGAGAGAAAAGGCGTCTCAGAACCAAGGACTGCAGAAGGGGGTATGTCTCTATGTCAAAGTCAAATCCAGAGTCTCAGGTCTAGCAGTGAACGTAACTGTGACGTACAGATGCACCTGCTCTTCCAGCTGCCTCCTCCTTTCTCTGGCATTTCTTCCGTATGATCGGGGTAACAAAAATCTTCTCAATGAGCTGTTCACTTGAGGCCTCGCGAAACCAAATAGTTTGGTAACTTGAAAGTAGGAGCCATTGGCTGCAGATTGCGTTTAATGCCAGCGTTCTGATTTCCCACATTTTCTCCAATTATGCAGTAGAATGTGGGAATGAATTATGGAACAACTAACGGATAAGGTACCATGTGGTCATTAAAAAACACATTTTTGAATGATGTTTATTGATAAGAGGAAAATGTGCCTTTTCAACATTATGTGAAAAAGCAGGAAACTCTATCTTGGCACATATGTCCCCTCCCCGCCCCAAATTCCCTTTGAATAAATGAAAATTTCCTAGGTGAGTGGGGTTGACAACCTTATGTGTCTGCAAAAACATAGAACTGTAGGTCTATTGATGGATGTGATTCTTGGGATCTTATAGTGAAAAATCACGGAGTGGCAGGGAGCAGAGAAATCTCGGGGTGGGCCAAACTTGTATCCCCCTTTGAGCTGTTTCTTTGTCTGTAAGCTGAGGTGATAATCTGTTCTAGAATGGTCCCTGGGGGGCCCTTTTGGGTTCCCCAGTGCTCCGTGTTGTGATCAGAGACTCTCCGGACACGGCAGCTGCGGTGGAGGCCGGCCCCATGTGGTCCACATCACTTCCCAGCTGGGACCTGAGGTTCACATCACTTCCCAGCCGGGACCTGATCAACCTTGACCTCCTATTGTTTCCCATCGTTTTATCTGACTGTCTTGCGTTTCTCCCTCCTGGGCTACTCCTTGCCATTGCTGTGTAAAGAGGCCTCTTGATTTATTAATCAATTAATCAGCGCATGCTGAGGCGCTGTTCAGGGTAGTTAAACAGGGAAAACAAAATACGAGAGCCCGTAATCAAGATGGATCGTAATTAAGAGCGGCCCTCACTCTGACCGTCTTCCTGCCCACCCTGGCTGCCCAATGCCACCGCCCTCGCCCACAGCTCCTCAGACCCTATTCAGCTCTGATGGGATTTCTGCCCCATAAAAGCAAATTGCAGATGGGCAGATTCCCCCCTAAAGTCCTAGAGGTAAATAAGCCTTGAGACGAGCCTCATTCCTTATGGGCAGCAACTGCTGACCCTCAAAAATTCAACCAGGTCCCCCAAATGACACAGTGGCTCTCTCCATGTATACACATCCTGTACCCTCCCGTCCCAGTTGCCCCACAGTCATGAAGCTGGAAGGAGCTTACAGGAAGGACAATGAGAGGTTCAGTGAAATTAAGTAAGTTGTCTGAGGTCACGCAGAACTCCAAGGTCACAAGTAGCAGTACTGGGAAATATTTTGATACCCAGTTAACACTCCTGGTGCTTTTGTCTCTGGGTAATCCTGCCTTCTTATAAAAGTGTGAAGCCAAGTAAATGAAAGACATCTTCATTAAATGTTCTGATCTTTTTAAAAGATACAGTAGGACCTCTATAACTTGACCACCCAAGGAGCTGTAATAAACTGGTCAGCCTATGGAGGTGGCCAGCATAAGGAACTAGGCCTGCTGTACTGATATGTACATGGGGTGTGTGTCAGGGCTATGAAAATTAGGTCAACTTAAGGAGGCGGTCAGTGTAGGGAGGTGGGCAGCAATGGAGATTCTGCTGTAGTAGTTTTAGACGATGTCTGTGTGGGAAAGTATCTTGGACTGTCAGGGAGATATTTTTATTTTCATGTGTCTCAGATGCGTGGATACAGACATGGCCAGCCTGGAGTGGGCCACGTGGTAAACATGAGTTCACCTGCAGAAGTTTGCTGGGCTGCTGGATCAGGCTGGGTGTCTGATCCAGAATCTGTTTGCTTGGTTTTCACTTAACCACCCAGTGCTAATGAGGCCAAGATTTCCTTAGAGCAGAGTCTCTCTTCCAGGTCACAAGTAGCACCTCCATCTGTTACTGACTTTCTGTGGGTAACATGAGGCCAGAGGGCCACAAGGTGTGGGTCCAGACCCCATTGTGCCTGCACAAACATTTGTGTCTCTGATTGAACACTGTGGGCTGGTCCAAGAACAAGAAGTTCTTATTTGACTGGTGTGATGAGGAGGAGACTTAGGAATCTGTTCTGGGGTTTTTTGTCCTTCTTTAATGGAAGTTTGAACTATAAAATTCTTAGGCATTTGTCAAAACATGTTTGTCAACCCTAGATGCTCTTCTGCCAGGCTGGCTTCTCATTTGTATTGGATGCCAGTCAATCAGTCAATCAGTCTAATTCCTTGGATTCGCCTAGAGCTTAACTCATAAACTGGATACCCAAACTGTGCTTAGCAGCCCTGAGTTACAGGCTCTGTCTCTCTTGTTTTCTGCCTCACTGTTCTCCAGGACCCTGCTTTCTCGGCCGTGATTCATGACAAACTCCAGGTCCCCAACACCATCCGGAAGGCATGGAATGACCGGGACAACCGCTGTGACATCTGTGCCACGCACCTGAACCAGCTGAAGCAGGAGGCCATCCAGATGGTGCTGACCTTGGAGCAGGCGGCTGGCAGTGAGCACTATGATGCCTCCCCTGGCTCACCCCCACCACTGTCCAGCATCCCCGCCCTGGTGGGCTCCCGGCACATGGGTGGACTCCAGCAGCCCAGGGATTGGGCCTTTGTGCCTGCCGCCTACGCCTCCTCCAACTACACAGGCTTCGTCAACAAGCATGGCAGCAAACCCAACAGCCTTGGGGTCAGTAATGGGGCAGAAAAGAAGAGTGGGTCCCCCACCCACCAGGCCAAGGTCAGCCTCCAGATGGCCACCAGTCCCAGCAATGGGAACATCCTCAATTCAGTGGCCATCCAGGCTCACCAATACCTGGACGGCACCTGGTCCCTGTCAAGAACCAATGGGGTCACCTTGTACCCATACCAGGTGAGTAGCCTCTGTAAGTTTGGAAGAGCAGGGTTGGCTAGACTCAAAGCAGAGAGGTGGGTAGCACATCCTTTCTCCTCTGTCTCTTGGAACCTCCCCAACGCACAGCCTAATGTTTCCATATGGTTCCCACAGCATTCTAATAGAGGTGTTTCACTCGGGCCTCTTACATTGAGAGTGTGCCTGCTTCATCCTCTGAACCCTCTGTACCTGGCCTCTCTCTGCTTCCTCGAGGCCTTGCTGGCCCAGGCAGTGCCAAGAGCTTCTGAGCCAGCAGGTGTACCATATGGCTCAGTGATTAAGAGCATAGACCCTGGAGATAATTGGACTAGAGTCCAAGCCCCAACTTGTCCACTTACTAGCAGTGTGACCTTGAACATGGGGCTTGCCTTATCTCAGGCTCACTTACAAATGCACGTTAGTTGTGAGAATGAAGTAGGGTAATGTACACAAGACAGACAGCTCAGATAGTAGGGGATTGTTGTTATGCCTGTTAACAGAGATTTTAGAAATTAAGGGAGTTGGGTGAGAGATTTTTGAACAAAAAATATTATGGGTTCCTAAAATCATGGTGGGTAGTACTGGACGTTGGGAAGAATGAAATATAGGAGGGACCAGTGATCCAGGTTGGCACTCTGCTTCCGTGGTCTACCCCTCCTAAAAGAGGTGTAGACTCCCCTGCTGACCTCTTCTGTCTTGACACACCTTAATCCTTTCCTATTTACAATTCACCTTTATTACCATTGGGACTGAGTTA